ACGGAATAGTCTCAGGACTATCCTGAGCACGCCGCAGCTAGCCACCAAAGCTATCGAATATATGGAACAGACGCAGATCCTTGGGCAAGTGGGGATCAGAGATGAGTAGACGACGCCGAGCGCTGGGGGGAGACGGTAGGTACAGCGGACGCGACAGACGAGGCAGCGAGCCTCTACGAGCCTAGAAACATAGCATGCAATTAGTAGAACCGCTATCTAGATGGCCGGCCAAAGCATATAGATGGTGGTTGATGGAAGACGGCAGGTTGCTGGGGACAGATGGTCTCTCTCAAGGGATGAAGTGGGGCGGCGCGGATCAACGTCCGCACCGCGTCCGCTGTCTGCCACGCCTGTCACTCCGGGCATAGCTGCGCAGCACGCGGCTGAAACCGAGTAGGAGTCAATAAATAAATAAATAAATAAATAAATCATATTACCGTCAATACGATATTTTTTCGCACAACTTAGATATATTACTAAATAACTACTTAACTACGCTAGTTATTATACTGATTTTCGTACGCCAGTAATCCAGCACTACGCATTGACGCCCATACACGCTGTAATTGTTCGTGTATTGGTTTATAAGCTTGGAAATGCCGCTTCTTTTTCATAATTGGCATGCCCTTCATCTTTGAATATTCAAACTTAAGCTAGCTCAACTCAGCTGCAAGCTTATTTTGAACCATCTTTCGCGCCGAATGGGAGTAAATAACACCCATTGAAGATTTGAGAATCGTACGAGTGCGTTGTTGCCGTGATCGCCGCGATTGTGTAATTGAAGTCATGGTGCGCAACTCACCAATCGCTTGGTCTCTAGCAACAGATATATTATACGCCCTAAACAGCGTACGTTTTACGTTTTCGCTAAGCTCCTCGTTCTCCAGACAAAAGTCAATATTGCGCTTAAGCGTCCGGATTGTTAGAGGCGTATTTAGCTCTAGTGGTGGTGGTGTTCCATCTGTAGTAGCGTTGCTACTACTATCACTACTATTACTGCCAGTATCTTGGGAATCAGCGTCCCAATCAGCAAAATCTCTCTGTATATTATTCTTAACGCGCTTGGTATCCAATAGATATAATCCTGAGTCCCGCCAGCCTTTTTGTATCGTACGGGGTTTAAATGTATAGGCGCGGATTGACTCGATAGCAGCCAAGAACCCAACCTTATTAAAAGCTGTACAGCGTGTTCGGGTTGCATAATCAACAGCCTGCGCGTGCTAGTGCTTGTACGGCTGGAAACAGCCCACATCAAGTAGTTGGAGAAAGTGAGATGTATATGGAGGCAGGCGATAGGCAATAACCTTATGATCCTCAAGGACTTCTAGAAACTCTTGGGTGCAGTGTGAATCAAATCCGTCGAACAGAAGCAGCCGATATACCCCTTGAGTATGCTTCTGACTCTGTTGTACGAAGTGCTTTACCCACTCATAGCTTAATTGATCATTTGTATAGCCACTATCGCTATACGCGATCAGATAGTTATCAGGCAAATCAGTGAAGTAGCGTTCAAGGAACGCGTCGCCTTCAATAATAACCATTAGTGGGATAGCGTGGCCTGCAGCGTTGACGCACTTAGTTACAGTTAATGATGTACAATCATCAGGCGTTGGTAAATAGACACGGCGGCGAGGCTCAAAAGTAACAACCCACTGGTCTTTTCCGATTCCAATGCGAAAGCCAGTCTCGTCAAAGTTCCAGATATCTGATGGTGGGATGCCATGCGTCTGAATCAAGCTTGTGAAGGTGTTAAACCACTCCATAATAGAGTCTGAGTCATGCGCAAGTGCGCGATTAAGATTAAGAGATCTCTGTCGCCGTACGTGAAGCTCGGGTTGCCGTTTAAGCCATTGTTTTGCCCATCGCGAGCTTGCGGTTGGTGGAGGACCAGGACCATCATGAGCTTGTTGAAGAAGATAATTGGCACACGATACAATCATAGGCAATCGTACACAAACGCCAAGTTCATCAAGACGTGCGATATAATCGTACAGCGCTTGGTCTTGCGCCTTAGCAAGCTTGTAGGTACCAGAAGGACGTTGAGGATGTGTTGGGCGGCCCTTTGATCGGGCGAGTAATCGCTGGTATAGAACACCGTATTCACGCGCAAGCTGCTTAAAATTGGGCTTCGAGATATCTTTGATAGACTCCAGGATCTCTGTAATGCGATTATTAATTAAAGTTTGAGATTGAGCCATTGTGGGGGCTATAAGTAGGGATCAAAGTAATTGAGTTGCGAAAAAATATCGTATTGACGGTAATATCGTATTGAGCGTCGGCACTCGCCTGCGGCGAGTGTCAGCGCAGCTGACTTAGCTGAATAAGCTAAGACTTGGCACGGATAAATATTGCTTTTGTCGGGTCTGACATAAGCAGAACACCAAAACCTTCGCACCTTTGCATCACCGCTAATAGTAAAGGTCTATAGCTCTAACTTATATAACTTATCTTAGTAGGTAGTAACTATAATATAAAAAAAATTTAGCTTTCTATCGATAGTATTCGTTGTGATGCAAAGGTGCAAAAGTTTTGGTATTCTGCTTATGTCAGACCCGACAAAAGCAATATTTACCAGCCTAACCACAATATAATTATTTTACTGTATAACTAACTAGTTATTAATATAGTAAATTAAGCAGTATCTAGAGTATCTTTCGTGCATGTACGCGCATTATGGCCAGTCTCTCTACACTTACTACAGCGTGCTAGAGCCTGGCGGCTAACACCTGATCGCTCTCCTCCTTGACGCTCTTCATAAGCAATCTGCTGATCAGCCTCGCGCTGAGCGAGTAGATCCTCTCCAGCTCCCTTTGTTAGCAGTCCTTGCTTCTGTATCCGCTTCTTCTTACGCTGCTTACGCTTTGTTGCTGCTTTATTAGCTTTCTTAATGCTGGCTATCCGATCGCGCATTAGCTTAGCCGAGAGCATCATTACCTCTGCTCCCTTCTTAAGCTGGTTAATTACTATAATAATTAAAGCTAGCGATAAGCCTTAGTGCCGCTAAACGCGATCGCGTATTAACGTTGATTGAGCTTTAAGCTCACGTGTATTACTAGGCGTACGAGCCTGCCAAAGAGCCTCTAGAACAGCTTGTGGAGTAGGCGTACAGAGCTTTATTGTTACAAGTAACAACAGGAAGGATCCTCTTCCTGGGTATGACGATGAATGGTTGGGAAACCACTGGGGATCCCAACGGGTAGAATGATCTTCGCCCCGCGAAGATCACGTGACTGGCATCTCGCCAAGAGGGCAGATGCCACAACATCTAGAGATGTCAGGACTGGAAACAATGAGGATATAAGGATGGGTGGATTTCCATTATTTACTCTCGTTGTGGTCAACTCAAATCGTACCTTCTTACTAGTTACTCAACTTTACAAGATTGATACTTGTTAGTCTATTCGATATAGATTAGGAATTGTCAAACCTTTTGTTATCAATTCTCCAAGCACGCCACTCCACTGCATCACCAGACAAATACCTTACGGAGCTATTCACCTTATCCTACTCGCCCTAACCCGGATCTAGCTTAGAGAATTATCAGCACCCAACCCCGTGTAACATTTATATCAAGCTTTAGTAGACCAATATCTGGCTGGAGAGGAACAACGCCTGCGCCGCGGAAGGCAGAGCAGATATTAGCTGGCGTGAAGGATCGATTAAAGGCTGCCTTAAACGCTAACAGAAACTTAAGCTTAGTAATGTGATTAATATAATAGTTAGTAGTAGATTAGGCTCTCTACCTTACGGCTGTACGCGCGCTTCGATAGCGAGAAGCAGCCAACGTCAAGGGGCTAGAGTAGGTGAGATAAATGCGGCGGCATGTAGAGCGTCTATATATTATTCTCCTTACAGAGCTCTTAAAACTCAAGAGACTAGTAGCTCTTATAGCCGTTAAGGATAAGTAGGCGACATATACTAACAACGCGAGTCTTCGTGTAAGCGTTAAAGTGCTTTAGCCATACAACGCCTAGCTCATTATTCATCCAGCCATTATCGCTAACTGCGATCGCTCAGTCGCGTAGGATCTCTGCCTCCTCGTACTAAGCAGATAGGTGATACTAGCCAGCTGCGTTAATCGCTGCGATCAGCGTCACCTACTTACGATTACTTAGCTTAACTACCTTTAGCCGGCCTCTTCTCTCTAACGCTATAACGACAAGCTAAGTCGTAATCTCACCTATTTTAAAGCCAGCTTTGTTAAAGTTATAGACGTTCTCATCGTAGATGCCGTACTCAGCCTTTGTCTAGTCTATAAGCTCAAACCAGCTCTTAATTAGGACTAGATCTTCGCATAGAGCTCTCTACCTATCGTACGCTCGGTTAAAACGCGTTGTAAGACTGTCTGTACGCTTAATAAAGTTGCGTGGCCAGTGGACGCCAGCCTGGCCAGCGCCGCGCGCAGCCAGCAGCTTATCAGCCATATCGCGCACAGCTTCGTAGGTAGGCGAGAATCTATTTATATCAAGATCAAGTATATGATTAACTATCACCTCCTCTTCTAGCTTGGTAAGCTTCTTTGAGTTGGGCTAGCAATCGCGTCGGCGGCGGATTGTTCGTTCTGATACGTTATAGATAGCAGCAGCACTGCGATTACTTTATATCTGACCAGATTTAATAGAGAAAATAGCAAGTTGAACGTCCGATTCATCAAAAACCAGCTGACTAGCGCTACGTTGAGCCATTGTACATTAAGATGAGAGAGGTGCGCGAAGTTAGTGAGGTGCGGCGCTCGCTTGTACGCGGCGCTCGCTTGTAAACTACGTTAGTAGTAGAGTAGCTAGTAGATAGAAGGCAGAGCAGATAACTAGAGCAGATAATAAGAACAGATCACTAAGAAGAACAGACAACTAGATCAGAACAATCCAATTCTTTAATCTCTTTCCCCTAGCATTATTTCTTTCTACCTAGAAACTATCGATTCGCTACCTCTGAGTTCATCGCTAGACAAGTAGATACATCTGCCTCTGAGCTAGCTATAGAACAAGTAGTGCCCTCTCCTTATTCCAACATTAACTACTCTAAGTAGTTTCCTCTTATAAATATTACAATTAAGTAAATAATAAGATGGTAAGTATGCATCAGGAAATAGTAGCCCTGCATCAATAAATGAATGCACCTTATTTGGGTAATCCGAGTCTTAGCTTACTAAGTTTCGTGAGACTACCTAAACAAGTAATCGACCTGTACTCCTGAACATAATAGGCTATCTCTCTTCTGTCAGCTTTTTGTCCTTTGCCAACTATTACTTTCTATTCTCAGATTTTTGTACTGGGGACTGTGGTCACATTCAGCTCTACTTGGTTCTCAACAAATTTAAGTGAGATCATCGTTCCACGTCAGTATCCACGTTCACACCTAAACACGACGCTGCTTCTACTCCGCCCTTGCTATAACCACCCCACCTAGGCTAGGAACTATGCCTCTTCTTTTAGTTCCGAATGCCTCGTCTAATCAAAGAGGAGATGTTCTTGCCTCTATATGAGCAATCGGCTCCTGAATATTCTATTACAGTATCGTTACTATAGGCGATATCGCATTTATCTCTCTTTACACATAACATAGACTCAACTCTGCTTTTTTCCTCGGCGCACTGTCAAAACTGGCAAGTATGCCTAACTATTTTATTATTCCACAACCCGGAATAAGCTACTAAATCAGCGCTTTCGCGTCCTTATATAGCAGTTCGCCTTGGTTGTTAGATCGGACAAAAGCCATAAAGAGACGCCTTGGTTAGGCAATCCGTTTCTAAGTAGATATCCTGGAACCGACCTTTGCTGACACTAGACTAGAATTTGAAGCTCAGTGCTACTTTCGGCCAACCTCGCTTAAATAACAGGATAGCCTAAAGTATAACCATGACCTCAACTAGCTCCTAAGTAGCCGACTTGACTCATAGTCTAATTAGATGATGGCACTAAACGCAACATACTAGTTTTAATATATTAACAATTAGCTTCGTTTTATGCAAGTAGCTGTGCTAAGTAAGCTGATAGGTTGACTGTCTAGACATGTCTTCTCAACCACCGCTCCTTCATGGTTTTCTGTTGAAGCAGAGCCCATATACGCGTAATCTCAACTAATAGTGGCTGTTAGGAAGCCTAAAGATTGGCGGGTTGCAATGCAATGAAGCATTAACATTGCCGTAATCTAATGCCTTGGCTCCTTCGGGCCAACAAGCATGCAGTTGGTATCATGCCACACCCTGAAAATAAAATTTAGCTCCGCTCTACTTTTATGAGATAGGGGCTTCGTTCATGCGGCGAGCCGCTCTGGCATTGGTACATAGCCGATGGAGAAGCTCTTCAGGGGAGTGCCAGTCTTCTTTGTCTAATCTACAAAAGGGCGATCTTAAACTTCACAATGTCTCTTTCTTCTTTTCATTCTCCCAATCCTCATCAAGATATTTTTGTCCCCTATATTCCAAATAAGCAACCGGGCACTAGAAAGCGTAAGGCGAGTGATAACACAAGCGAACGCCAGCCCAGCGAAAAAAAATGGACCCAAAATGTTGCGGGAGCCAAGAGCACCAGTATCACTTCAAAACAGAATCTTGAATCACCCACTCAGATTTTGACTTCATGCTCTAAACCTGTTGACGACGAAGGTACAGTGGATTGATGCATCTTGCGATATCAGATCTCAACTAACTCGGGCTTGATGACACAGTTACTGAAATTAGTCACATGGCACTTTATTATGATGAACGCGAACGTAAGGATAAAGACAAAGCCTCTAACATTCTGGAAAACCAAAGTCTTGTGGTTGTCGAAGGAACAAATGCTTTCGCCGCCGACATGACTTCGAGTGAGTTTTCTAGGAGTTAAGATTCATATCCTCTCTAACGATTGATAGAAGAACGTACATTTGCTGCTGGTGAGTCAATATCTAGTTGCTAGCCTTCTGACGATGGAGATGGCCAGCAGACAATACTGGGAGCAACTATGCTCGCCTGTCAACATACCAATCAGTGCGACGGATATAAAAAAATACATTAGAAACGTTAAATCCACCGCCCATGGATGCATGTGTACTAGAGTTGCCTCCTAACTGCGGAAGCGAACTTCCCCTCTCTACCGACTCAATAGATTTTGATGTAGATAATTGTCATGCCATTCCCCAATCCATGACGACAAGAAATGGCGAGATACCTGATCGTAATGGCGTTCCTGGTAGTCACAGGAGGAATTTAAGAGCACTTAGCGACGATAAAGGAGATTGACACGAATTTGAGCAAATCACAGCTCATTTTCAGTATGATGATGGCTCGATACGCTATTTCATTATTTGGAGAGGGTGGCCTGTAGCGAAAAGTACGTGAGAGCCTGCTGAGAGCTTAGAAGACTGCTTAGAGCCTGTCTAGAGATACTGGGCTTTTAAGAGGAAGTGCAACTCGAGCAATAATTCAACTACCGCTGGAGATCACATGGGTCTATTTGGCGACTAGATACCTGAGGACGATGGAGATCGACACGAAATCGAGGAGATCTTGGATCATGACGAGCATGGTGGCTTGCTACGCTGGCTTGCGTTATGGTCCGACAGGTCAATAACGTGGGAATCTGCTAGTAACTTCGATAATTGCCGATGGATTATCGAACAGTACTGGGGTCATATGTTACAGCAAATAGTAGCTGGTCGCTCGAGGCTTCAGATATAGATAGAAGGACCCAATTTAGACTTTTGGCACTATATTATACATATGACCAACTGCAAAGATAGCTGTTTCTAGATTCTGTTGGACTTGAGAGCTTAATGCATTAGAAAATCAGTGGCTCTTCTATCGTGTAGTTACTCTTGCATCCCTAATCAATCTAACGAGGCGGAATGATCACCCAACTAAGCTGATCATGTCCCACTAGCACGTCGACGTCGAGACAATATCACCCAATTTTCTCACAGTTAACATCATATAGTATTGAACCACAGATTGCGACTACTGCCACACATTCGAATTTACCCCGTCTTCTATAAGAAATCTTTGAAACCAGCACTACCAGACGCTAAGCTATCAAGATACACAGAGTTCAACGACGACATACATAAGGACGAGACGATTGAAGACCTAAGGAGATTTTAACGTCAGCGGAAATGCTTAGTCAAATGGCGGAGATAGCCGAACAGCCGCAACACTTGACAACTAAAAGAAGATCCTACGAACTGCAAATCACTAGTACATGAGTACCACCAGTATACATCCGAGAAAGATAGGACCGGATTCTTGAAGCAAAGGGAGGATCGAAAGAATTAACTTGTAACTAGCCCAGATCAGCTGATGATCAGGATAGCGTTGGTTCGATAGCAGGAAGGCCTATACCAGGGTTTGAACTCCCCTCGGCTTGCGCTTTCGCACGTTCCTGAAGATCAGGGAACGCAAGGCCTCGACAGGCGTACGAGCACTCGCGATCTTTCAGCTCTAGAAGTCGCACCCTACTATAAGCAAGGCGCAACTTCAGGCGAGCAATTTGTAACTCAATTTTGCGACGCTTACGCTAAACTCTCTCCCACTCTTGCTCGGAAGTAAGTAAACTACACTTATTAGTTACGCAAATACAGCTAGCATAACGACTAGAATTTATCTTAATAAAACAACGAAATTCCTCCTGTTTGCAACGCTTACAGCGAAAGTCCATTTCTAGAGATTCGTAGTCCAATTAAGCACACCGGGTATAGAGATCTGCTACTGACTTCTAGGCACGATTGCGATGGGAAGATAGAACCTTGGCCACGATTGGGAAAGTTGAAGGAAGCAGGCAGTTATATTGAACTAGTACTGGCCGACCTTTTATACAAAACACACCGCGACGCGCGGTAAGTTAAGATAATGCTCTAGAGTGTTGAGACGACAACTCTAGAAGGGGGTAATATCATAAGTAAAAAGCAGAATAATTCCCTGGCTAACAACGAGTGGTTAAAGGTTCTCACTCAGGATGCAGGCTAGAAGGTGATAATCGCTGTGGAGCCACACTGTGACTAAAATAACCGGGACTTAGGAATACCCTACTCTTTGCACTAATAACTACGCACCTGTGGGGGTGACTTGTAATCTATTTAAGCGCCTCATCATATTACTATATACTATGTCTAAATTCGATCACGTGATATCTGCTACACCACAATATCCAGCACTGTCTTCCTCTTACAAGATTAATGTTGTCAAGATATCGGAGTAATCATACGACAGCTATCACAAAAGGTTTAAGTTGCAATATAATCTCGGATCGTTGATCGTAATACATGTTGTGAGAAATTTGTGATTTGTAAGGATAGTATTTGATTCACTAATACCGAGTACATAGCCGCGTGTACGTCCTTGGTTATAGCAATTTTTGAATAGAATTTAGGCAGGTTAGAGTCACTAGAATCCCTGTGTCGTATCGAACTGCTATCATGGTACTCACCTAAGAGTGTTTATTCAGATACCATAAAAAACCCTACTCTGAGAGCAGACTTCTAGTCTCTAATATTACTCAAATGGGCAATTTGGCAATCCAAACCCTATTTTTATGTCGAATATGTCTATTGAAACAAATATGTGCCATGTTTTCTCTAAAAGTTTTATCTCTCCTTCATTGCTATTGTTTTCGATGATTGTGCGTCAAAAACCTTCTGGGTCAGTGAAATATTTCCATCCCACGTTACTAGCCCTGAGGTACCAGTAGGAAAGAGCCTTCTCATTGTACTGGCTGAACTCAATCAACAGGTCAAATTGGGAACGTGCGACAACACATTATATCAGGCCGGACCAGTTGTATTAGCTTTGTGATTGATAAGTCTGGCCACCGAAGCCCCTGTACAAGGCATATTGGCAAATGAATCTGCCGGTTAATCGAGTTGTTCTCTATACTGACAATAGAGTATGATTCCAATCAGGCAATCACTGTGCGAGGTTTCCAGAGGGCACGCGCTCCCACATATAAAGTCTACGATTTCGTCTCACGACGAAAATTATCCTTTCATCTCGATACAGTCAATCCTTTCTTCAACACCTTCACAACCGACACAGCTTAGCTGTTGAACAACACATCGTTTACAATGAAGTCATTTATCGCATTTCTCACTATGGCCACGATTGTTGTAGCTGCTCCGCAGCCTGCCCAAGGTCTTACTGGAATCGAAGCTCGAGACCTCTTGGATAAACGACAGTCATGCAGTGACTGGTGCGCGACGTCTGGCGAAAAATGTCAAGGCAAAAATGGAAAACAGTACTGCTGTGCAGGGCCACCTACCAATGCCTGTGCTCGCTGGTCATGGCCCGTCCCGTCCGTGGTGTTAGCTCGTCCGAGGCATTGCGTTGTCAGGCACACAATGTTCTTCTAAGTATAACTTCTCGTCATGTGACTATTCGAGTGAGCTAATCAAAGCTGTTTCTGATTGTGGGTCGTATGGACCCGAGTTCGCTAAGCTACTGCGAGACCCTCACCTCGGAGACCGAATATGGCATTACGATTCAGTGTCAGGTTAGCGTATGTATTGTTACGAGTAATAAGAAGGACCCGCATTTTAATCAAAGATTCGCGATTGCGTGACAACAAAATACTCGCAGAAAAGCAATGATTAGCAGAGATCAGGCAGGTTACGAGGACATGATAGTCGTCATCGCCAATTTCCTTAACATCTGATATAGCAAGAGTAGAAGTCATGACTAAAAAGGCTATATAGGGTCGGGGTCGATGTGCTTGGCGTTCTCAGACGCCAAGGCTCCGCCCCCAAATGCCGAGCAATGTATTTGTGTACACCAGTCTGTTTGAATCATTTGTGATCCTCATGAACGGTAAGAGCTGGTCTTGTACATGTAATCTTAGAGTACTGCTCAACTTCTCTTCCCGTAGAAAAAGAAGTCGACAAAGGGTAGATACATTTCATTAATACACTGACCATCAACTTCCATAATTCTTCTCTGCGTCTCTGGTTGTATGCACAAATGCACTACCTTCCAAAAAGTTTGATCCGAGAGCCTAAGAGCGCGAATTCCTCACAAGAATTTCCAAGGGAGGAGGGCAACCCGTCTATCATATTGCCACATTAAGTCATTAGGTTCTAATAGCGAGCACGAACATGCTGTAAAGGATCTTAGGCCAGGGGGCCTTACAGGTACTTGACTAAGTCGGCTCCACAAAGACCCACATCAGGCTATATCCAGAACAGCTCTACTAAAATCTTTAAGATATAAAAGGTATCTACAAGGCTGCTTAACTTTTACTACAGCTCTTAGCTATAAACATAACGCTTCACAACATAGTCACTTTCATTCTTAAAACTACGAAAATGAGACTCTCGTCTGTACTTCTCAGCCTTGCTGCTACTGGAGCTCTATGCTCCCCCACTGCCTCTGTAGCTGACCCCACTGCTGAGAAATGCGCCGAACTCGAGGCCCTAGGTCAGGACCAAGGAAACCCCCTCTCAGAAAGTGATGCTACTGCTCTTCGAAAATGTGGAAAGCATCCAGCTGAGCTTGGTCTCGTCAGCTCTCTCTACAACCCGGACGAAAAGGCGAATCTCACCAGCCCTGCCAATCGCGGAAAACTTCTCGATGAGCTTACGGGACTCCAAAAACGGGCCTATTGTCAAGACGGAGGTCGTGGTCACGGCTGGGACTACGACTACGGGTGTACTAATGGCTGGTGCTGGAGGAATTGCGAAGGTCCTTTTAATGGTGCTCTAGAGTTCAGGAAGACGTGGTGCTGGCTCGCATATGAAGCTGGTAGCGGAGGCTGGACTCCCTGTGGCAGGTGGCAGGATTGCGAATGGTCATACAACAATAAGAATGCTAAGTGTGCTAAAGGAAATTGCAAATCTTGTGGTTGCGGCTGTTAGTGTTAGAATCCGCGGATTGGGTGAACATCAGATCATGAAACGAATAACGGGTTAGGAAAAGCTAGTAACAAGAGAGGATTTTGAGGCAGATTTCACATCTTTAAATCAATTCGACTCAATTATTGTCAGTTATTGTTTAAAGGCTCCGAAGAATCAAGCGATGCTACTGCATGTGAAACAGCAGGGGTGTTTTGCTATTTTAGCTTCCATGCCAAAGATAAGAGACTTAAGAACACAAGCTATAACGCTATAATTTTGCTATATAGAGCCTGCGATAGATAAAAATAGATGTAAAGAGCATCGGCTTATTGAAATGACTCTACATAATTGTGCAACGTTGGCATAACATAGTTAATCAATATTCCTAGTCCGTTGCGGGGGGATGTTCGACCCATAGGGACGGACGTTACAAACTTTTCACAGTTCCTGTTAAGTGCATAGTGAGCATCGAAAAATTTAATAATCATAGAAGTACCAGAGCAAAGAGAGACCATCTGTTCATCTACTATTACTTGCCGAAATCACCTGACAAAGCCATACCCTTCCTGATCCTACTCCCATACCTAATTGGGTCCCACTGACAGCCGAGCTTCATGGTCGATACTCAGAGGGTATCCATAATATGTTGCTACCAGCGCACATGAACCAGTTGCAATCTGAACTTATACCAGCACCCTGGTACTGTGGTTTTGATGCTGCAACGTCGATGCGGTCTGTAAACTGGGAACTAGGGATAGTAATAGCAATAGTGCCTGTTTCTGTATAGAGCAAAGTACCAGTGGAGAGCACACACCAACTTCGAGTTTATCAGAATAGGTGTAATTTTATCTAAATATATACAAATCCATCCTAAGAAATTCATTGCAACTAGTGCGAAGTCGTACAGTCCACGCGCTATAGAGCTAGAAGCTGGTAAAGTAGCTGATCTGAACACGTCTCACTCACGAAAACAAAAACACACAGACCACTTAGCTGCTTACTAAGAGAAAAGCTTAGTTAGTAATAAAATGCCGCCAGATAGTGATACTATTATAGTAAATACTCAAGAAAACAGACAGGAGAGCCTAGGGCTAGAGGCTCAAACTGATAGAGAAATGGACGTAGAGTTCACTCCAGCCACCCCCACACAAAACCAACCAACACCAAGCGTATTCGAAATACCAATACTACCACTAACTAAATAAACGATACGCAAACTTCTCACCAGAGACTTCCTATAGAGGTAGAAACCCATACCAGAACACCTCTAGCGTAAAACCAATTGCCAAGAACTCCGAACAGGCAATCTATTGGGCTAGAGACCTTATTCTTCAAGCCTCCACGATGGAAGAATCCCATGTAGCTCAAAATAAGCTACTAGAGCTACTAGACGTCTTTAGAGACTATACTCAAACTGGCAGAGTAGCTAACCAAATCACGGAAAAACTATCTGCCAAGCTAGCTTACCACTCAGCCACGCTCGCAAATGCCTCTCAGCAAGCAACAAAGACGCTTAAACAAGCTACTACTATACATAGCTTCTAACAAGGCACAACCAATAGCTATACAACTAGCTCAAAAACCAGCTCAAACCTCCTACGCTACAATTGCAGCAAACAACTCAAACCAGGCCTGGACAACAGTCCAGCCAATCTTCAATCTAAATCTTAAAAACCAACTAACAATCCCAAGAGGCACAAAAAGAGAGATTTCAAGCGCTTTCTACACTCTTAAGATAGGACACGGATACTTTAACTCCTATCTAAAGAGATTTAAAAGAAGGGAATGCGATCTTTGCAAATGTGTGAGACCGCAAACAGCAGAGCATCTACTTCTATACTGCGGCTTCTACAGTGTAGAGAGAAATAAGCTTAAAAAGACTCTAGGCCAAAAGATACTCAAACTCCCACTCTTACTCCATACTACGAGCGGTATAGATGCTACCTTAGCTTTTATCACTAGCACGAGGATAGGAACAAGAAAGTGGCAACTAGGCCAGGAAGGTTAGAAAGAAAAACAATAACAAAAGAAGAAAAGCAAAGAAGAATAAATTTGATTTTATTATACTATTTCCTATCCCCTAAGAGAGCTAGCTGAAAGGCAGCCTAGCTGCCCCACATCTCTCCCTATTACCACACTGCTCTTTAGCATCAGGCATCTAGAAAGCTAGTAATAGCGCAGCTAGATAAAGGCCGAAGCACCATAGTCACGCAACACAGCACAAAGTACCAAATTGTAAATAATTAGATAGAACGGCCTCCGGCTAAAGTCCTACATAGCCAACGGCTGATACAGGACTATAATGGAATAATAATACGCTGCTTCGGCACCACGAAAGCTCCCTTCAACGGTGTCGGGCGATCACGAAGCATCACCCCGATCATGCTCCAAGCCCTCTGCGAACACTTACTTGAGAAGCCAGACCTGTACCAGGAGGAGATAGCTGTCTTCCTTTGGGACAAGTTCCAAACCCAAGTGACAGTGCACAGCATCGGCCGGGCGCTGGCCTCGGTTGGCTGGTCCAAGAAAGCGACTCGACGAGTAGCGAGACAGCGAAACGCGGACTTGCGAGACTTCTACCTCTACAAGCTATCCGCTTTCCGTTCATACCAGCTGGTGTATGTAGATGAGTCCGGATGTGACAAACGCATTGGATTTAGGCGGACCGGGTGGTCGCCTGTTGGGGTGACACCCGTACAGATTGCGCAGTTTCAGCGTGAGCAGAGATATCAGATCTTGCCAGCGTATGCGCAAGATGGCGTTGTGTTTGCGCGGGTGTTTCAGGGAACAACAGACGCCGCCGTGTTTGAGGATTTCATCGAGCAGCTGCTCTGCCACTGCGGGAGATATCCAGAACCAAAGTCAGTAATAATCATGGACAATGCGTCGTTCCACCATACTGAGCGGGTGGAGCAGCTGTGCCGTGACGCAGGTGTCCAGCTGCTGTACCTGCCACCCTACTCCCCAGATCTCAACCCGATAGAAGAGTTCTTTGCTGAGCTCAAGGCATACATCAAACGGAACTGGAACAAGTATGCAGAAAATCCTATGCAAAGGTTTGATTTGTTCTTAGAATGGTGCGTCGATATGGTCGGCGCTAGGATCCCTAGTGCTGAAGGTCACTTTCGGCACGCGGGCGTCACTATTGAAAGCGTAGACATCTAACATGCTCTCGTATCGGTTTTGTGTTCTCAACGATATGGTGATAAGTACTTTTCGTGGTGCAGCTTTAGCAGCATAACGGAGCTTATAACGACTAAATCACTTGGTATGTAACATCGCTCAAAGCGATAAGCTATAGCTATTCCCTTTGATAGTACACATGTGAGGCTACATACAGGCCTATAAGGGGAGCAAATAGCATTAAACGTTGACTTTTTGTGATAGCATTATCTACTCTATGAAACTGCTCCTACAACTTTCTGCGTATACCAGGCCACCTTTGACGTTGTCGATGGCCTTGGCGAGGATTGGGATGCTCGGAGGGCAGCGGTGGTGATGCCTGCAATAAAGGCGGTGACGCTGAAGGGTCCGTTGTCGTTAGAAGAACACTTCTATTGAGATGTAAGAGCGCTTGTCGATGAAAGGAAAGAGAAGACAGTTCTCAAGGGAAGAGAAACGGCAAGATGCACAGAATGAACTAAGAGGTAGCAGCTCTAGCTGAGGCGCAGCTGAAGGCTCGAGCCAACTATATTGCAGGCCCGACGCTCTTGTGACAAAGAGCTTGGCGAGGAGCTATATGTTTATTTACTGTATAGTATAGTACAATATGGTATATTCTGATAGAGTGGCACCAGCGAAAACCAGCGTAAGAGTGGCTCGTTGGCACTCAGCGTGGTGTTGATTTTCTCGATGGCTTGCGGCTCTTTACCCTACTCTCTTCACGATGGCACCTCGGCAACCAATGGGTCAAGGCTTTACAGGCCCCAGCCTTCGAACCATAAATTACGCCAACAGCAACGACCCTTTATGTGATTACATCATTCTCAGGATGGCATAACAACATGTAACAATTGTCATTCCAGTCTTGAACGCCACACTCAACGCTCTCCCTACCGCCACGGACGCACCCTTCAACGCGTTCCAGCGAAAGCACGACCCTACCAGCCTGCCCGATACCCGCGTCGACCTCCTGCGCGACATATACGACTGGGCCAATGGCGACGACTCGCCCAGTATCTTCTAGTTGAGCGGCCTGGCTGGCACTGGCAAGTCCGCCATAGCGTGCATAGTAGCCGCACGATACAGTATGATACTTGTGTAGCTGAGCTTTTTTGTATTCACTGATGCTATTGTGTAGAATTCTATGACAACAAGTTCCTCAGAATCCACTCCCTCAACAACCACTGCAGTGGTTAATTATGATCCCTCTAACGTGAGAGAGCCTCATTACTAAATCTCAACTTTCCCTTCCCAAATGCCTGCCGCGACGTTTGATTTCTTTCCGATATCCAAATTGGAGATTGTCTGCTCGGACACCTTATCCACAACAGTAGCTGGCATTCCAAGCCTAGCTACGGATTCCTCATCAACCTTGATATGAGTGATTGACTCTTTCAGCTTGATCGCTCGGAGCTGCTCTACTGTTTGATCGCTTTGCTTGACAAAGCTCTTCAGCACACTTTCTTCTTCGTCAAGCTCATCGAACACTCCGCTGCCCTCAGACTCACCTATTGCCTTTAAACCCACTGAAATCCGCTCTCGCTCCTGCTCAGCCTGAAGCTTCCAGTCAACAACTGCTTGCTTGAGGGTGGACATCTCAACAGCACGTTCGGCCACGGATTTATGAACCAGCTTCCTTGTAAGACAATTAGCACATATTGTGAAGACAAGAAATATGGTCATACAGTGTCAATATACCGACAGTCATGTCCAACATCCTCGCCGTGGCCCAGAGCCTAGTCCTGTTCTTTTCGATCTGCGCACTGTGTAGTTTGAACTTCAGCTTCCCAGTAAAGCTGTCCACACCTTTCTCCGTCCACCTAGTCAGCTGCCTGATGAACTTGTCACAAGCACTACCACATTCGTTCATGCCCTGAGTGATGCCTGTAACTCTGACTTCTTTCAGCGTGTCTTCATCGGCTCTAGATAAGAACTCCAAGCTGGACAAATTCTTTTGCAAGTAAGAAACCTCGATCCAGATCTGTGGCAAATTTTCGCGGGCCTTATTCTACAATCAGCAGTCCACAAATGATACTCGACAGTTAAGAGTAGATTAAAAGTAAGTCCGCTAAGTGCCGGTTTTAACTGGAACCGCCAAAATCTTCGATTCTACCCACCCACAGATCAACAGGTAGTACAAAAAGGTAGTCTATAGTACGCTCAAGATACGCGCGACGCTATACTTAATAGAAGCTGAGCTTCATATTATAGATAGCAAAGGTCGGCATCCTCGCAGTGGGCGCGCATCAATACCAGCACCTTCATCAGCACCTCCACCGGCTTAACCATATAGAACTCATCCCAGAATATATGTAAATACTACGAGATAATCAGTAACAACACTATTCGCCAGTCTTAAAGCACAAAAATATACGGTCTAGGTAGAAAATTAAACGCATTTTACGTAGGGACACCGCTAAAATCCGACCTAGCTCGAGAATCCGACCTGGCGTAGGAGGATCAAGCTTCGCTTAGGTCGTGGAGACGGGTAAGGAGTCGACGCTGCGAGAAGAAACAACCAGAAGTTTTCAAACTTGCTTTAACATTAGGAGCTTTATTATAGAGTTAAACACAAGCATATAACTAGCCCTTTTTACTAAGACCTTACCAAAACTACGAATTCTCACGGTATTATCGCATTGTACAGAGGGTTAAGGAAGAATCGTAGTACAACATTCTACTAAATTTTAGTAGGGTACGTCAACGCGAAAACTCCGTCCTGATGTTTCCTTTATCAAAATTTAGTTTTAATGTAGGCGATTCTTTGCATCTCCCGCTTAGAGCCTCCATCCTCTATCATTTCTGTAATATACCACCAAAGCGTAGCCAACCGAGGCGTCCCCAGAAGACCATCTCACGCCCCCCTTCGCCCAGAATCTCAACTTCCTGTTTAGTGTCAGTAATATCGTCAGCGTCTACAGCACTTGTCAGAAATAGTATAAGGTGCCTACTCACCTTTCAGTCGTAAGATCAAGACCGTTATGTAGTAAGCGCTAACGATCAAGAATATAAAGGGCGACCCTCTTACTAGCGGAGCGATTGGCAGATTTATGTAACTCTAATTTGCGACGTTTCATATGAAGAAATTCCTAAAGGCGCTTCATTTTAAGCTTTATCTTCATATTCGGACAGCCGCTAATATCACTGTAGCAGGTATGGGGCATTTTCTATCTCTTCTACAGCTCCACGGTATTCATCCTTAGCGTACCAACCTGAAGAATCATCGCTCACCTAGTCAACCGAGAGCTCTTCGAGTTTTTTTCTCTAACTTTACTTGGAAATAGTACAAGGCTGGGTTACAGGGCTACACGCGCTATACCGCGCAACAGCCTTGCAGTTGCGCGATACAAACTACACGGAAGGAGCTATAGAGTAAATCTATTCGTTGCAGAAAGAAACAAATGTCAAGCAAGGTAAGATGTAAACAAAACGCCGGTTAAGCTTATAGGTACCGTAGATGTTATAGCAAGACTGCGTATACATCGTACATGTGTAAACGAAATGCCAAAAGAGAAAGGGCTGATGCAGTATAGCTGACGGCCGTGTGTTAAAGCTTTCACAAGAGAATATTGCACTGTAAATTAGAAGATAGTGTAACTCAGTCATTGCGCTATGTCTGATCGATTGTCGGTTGCTATGCAAATGCAAAACAGCTATACATGTCCCTGGATGGGCAGTGGGTGATAGGCGCTCTCAAGATAAGTCTCTTCCTCGTCTGATAGCTCAACAGCCCTAGCGTCCAGTATCTCATCCATACGCTCTACCGATGAGAGGCCAACGATTGGTGAAACAACACGCTTGTTCAGCCATGCCAATGCGACATGGCTCATTGGGATGCTACGAGAAACGGCAATCTCGTAAACTCGGCGAGCTATCTCGTCGGACTGCGATGGATTATTGTCTTTGTATAACGTGCCGTTGACGCTTCGATAGGAGGATGTTGGTTGGCCTGGGGGCCTTGCTAGCTTGCCCGAAGCTAGTGGAGCCCACTTATATAGTATTAGCATTAGTCTCGTTTGCTATGAACCTGCTTACCGGAATAAGACCCACACCTGTGCGTTTGCAGTACTTGTTCATTTCCCGCTCCTCCTCTCGATAAATGAGATTGTAGTGATTTTGCATTGAGACAAACTTTGTCCAATTATTTTTCTCTGCGGTATGTTGTAGAATGGCAAACTCGTGAGCCAACATAGAGCTCGCTCCAAGGTAGCGGACCTTGTTCATCTGCACCAGATCGTGAAGCGCTTTCATGGTCTCTTCGGCCGGTACCTGGTCGTCAAACCTGTGTATCTGCAGGACATCGATGTAATCTGTATTGAGACGCTGCAGTGATGCTTCTACTTGCTGATAAATCGATGCCCGGGAAAGTCCTGTTTCATGCATGAGCCATAGTACAAGAGAACTTCTAAGCATGTCTCACCAAGATGGTTCACGTAATCTTTACTTTTGTTCGCCAGATCCGGATGGTACGCAGTGCATGTACCGATGTCGGGATCTACGTTCGGATCTGTGACTGCACGACCGCATTTAGTCATGATGACAACTTTACTTCTCGGAATGTTATGCACTTTCAGGGCTTTCCCCATAATTCTCTCTGACTCTCCGTTGGAGTAGAAATTGGCTGTATCCCACTGGGGAAGATTTATGAGATCAGTGATAAAAATGTGGATGCTAGGAACACATACTGTATTGATACCCTTGTCGTAAGCTGCCTTGAGTAGAGAAATGCTTTCTTTCTCGTCTAATACCCAATCATACCATTGAGATGCTCCAAAGTGCAGACCGCCTAGGATGGGGTTGGATACGATGAGTCCGCTATTCCCTAGCTTTCTGTACACAGCGCGAGAATCCTCTACTGATTTAACAAGCGAGACAGGCGGATTTATCCATCTTGAGTAGTTGATCATACTGGTAACAAGATCCCACAGCGGCACTGTTGGTAATTAAACCTCAAAGGTAAGAGAAAATGTCTATGAGATGCGGTAGTATTCTGCTGATCGACTAATCTCTCGTAAAGACAAAAGAATATGGCATGCAAATTGACTTGCTTGAGCAGTGAGAGAGACTAGGTATAAATTATGGAAATGAACATACTGCTAGTTGGCGGGCTAGACATTGCATGGGTGGACATTAAACCAATCTAACCTAATATAGTAAGGTTCTGCGCAGCAAAACGACCGTAACAGAGCCAGCCCAGCACCTAATTTGACGGACCAGTTGACACGTGGTAGAGCGCACGGGTATGATTTGCGCGAGTTACTCTCCCGAGAGGCAAGGAGCAGGGGCCTAAGGTGAGAGCCCATGTCCTTAGCGTCAGGACTTGGTATTTAGAATGAGTCCGAGCGGCCCTGGACTGGGTGTTAGGAGAGCCAAGGTAGTTACCGCTTCCGTGCTCCGAAGGTGCCGGTCTAGGATGTCACCTAGGTAGCAGACCTAAATTGCCGAGCATCGCCTGCTAACCGTCCGAAGGATCCCTGTAGAGTAAGGCTATCTAGGGTACTCCGGGGTAATTGGACCGGCATGTGATGGTGAGACTACATCAAATGGGAAACGATCTCTCGGTACTATTTTCTAATGGCTTACTGGTTACGCGGCAATCGTAATTTTTGCCTCAATCTAATTAACGGTATGTCTCCTCGCATCGTTTCCTGAAACTCGAGCTGGCTGCACTCCGGTCAGTATGAATTGCCTACCCTTAATACTACAGGAGCTGGTCTGCTACCTAGCAGGCGTGTCTAAGCACGTGACAAACCACCTGCACTAAATCTCCTAAACATGGTGTCAAATAGAATGAGATGGTAAATAGAAATGATGGATGTTGATGATTCAATGTGACAAACCCCACGGGCGAGTTGGCGTGATAGTAGAGCACTGTATATCATAGTGTAGAAAAACCGTAATAGACGATTCTACTCAGAATGTATCGTTACAATTTGCTTCCATTTCTGCGAGTTATGCCCAGTCTCGCCGCAGCGTCCACAGCGTCTTTGTGATGGCTTGCCCACTTCAACACACACTTTCTTCCTCCCGTTGGAGTCCTCAAGCTTAAGCTATCCTACCTCCTACCTAGGTAGTGTATTTTAGCCAACCCTGTCTTACGCCTCTAGATCTGGAACATGGGTACGCATCGTAGGGTTGCGACTCAACAGAACCAGAGCAATGCCTCAAAGTCGCCATCACGTCGATGTCATTAGCACAAGTGAAGCTGTGAGCCTAGAAGTACCATGTATGGTCACGTGGTTGCCCACTGACTAATAACGCTGTATTTAAATTTGTTCTTAGCATCATATACAACAGGAGAAAATACTTGATACACACTCAGCTGCTTGCAGAAGCGTTTGAGAAGTCGTAATCATGCAGCAGAAGGGCTTCGAGGCGAGGTGGTGATTTGCGTTTTGTTCACTTAGCCATGGTGCTGAAACTAGCCCTATGATTGAGGGCCTATTTGGTTGCTCCATTTCTACGCGCGCTCAAAATAGCAAGTCTTAATCCTAACTTGTCAAAATTTAGCGCGAGGAAAACGGAGGTAGGTAAGATTTTAGGCTGTGACGCAAAGAAGCTACAGGGTCTCTAAACACCAAGCCGCATCCTAGATAGCGCAGCTGATCAGGGATCAAGAATTTCGATGCGGTGAGTTTATTTATTGTGCACAAATTTGACTTTTTTATGTTGATTTACAGCCGCTTTTCGTCCGAGAAGGTAGAAGCGCGACGGTCCGATACCGCAATACATACTAATGCAGTCTATGCAATGTACCCTGCTAGCAACAGGGGCTACTGCAAGCTGCGAAAGGTTGGCAATATGGGGCATGTTACGGATAAGAGGATCACTCACTGTTGTCGTAGTTACCTCATTACTACAAAGAATTAGCGTAGCAGAATTACGCCACGCGTATTTTCTGCTCAGAAACCCGACTAGGATACAACTTTCATAAAAGTAATAAGAAAGTCTTTTGTTTCGTGTTACTCGCACATTTTTTATTTGTATATCACTCAATTGATCAATTGATAAATATTCTTTCCAACCTGCGTGGCTTACGGCAATGACTTCTACAACAACCATAAAAATCTGTTCGAACGGAGATCACATGGATGTGTACGAAGAACTGGGAAATAACCTGCTACAGGCCCTCTTAACCTATAGCCAGCGTTTGCGCCAAGAGAACCTTTCAATGTTAGGATTGTTCCCTAACTCTTCTGAAATATCGAAGTCCCTTAGTGAAGAAGGGCGTAGAGAAAAGGGGAGGGTCATTGAGCTTGCACAAGAAATATTGGCCACGACCATAGATCCAACTACAAGTCTCTTACTAGATTCGCTGCAGGTGCGTTGGCCTTTTGCAGTCAGGTCGTCCCCCCACCCCCTTACCAGAGACTAATTCTTATGATAGTTCCACTTTTGTTCATGCTTGAAGGTTGTCCTCGATTTGGGAGTAGGGCATCAGATGCGAAAGGATGAGCAGAAGTCGCTGGAGCAGTTGGCTAAAGCAGTGGGAGCAGATCAAGCGTTACTCACCCGTATCATGCGGGTTGTGATGACAAAATACGTCTTTGCCGAGCCTCAGCCAGGTGTCTATTGTCATACCTCAATCTCATGGGAAATGCAAGAGCCAGCTATGCACCATCTCCTCCTCCATCGCCTTGATGAGGGTTTTCGATCGGCAAGTCGAGAGCCAGATGCACTACGACTGAACAACTACCGCGATCCATTGCCCGACGATATGAGTGGCTTTAATCTGGCATTCGACTGCAGCGAAAATTTCTGGGAGTTCATCGCTAATACCGATATCAAACGAGGTCATCGATTTAACCAAGCCATGAAAGCTGTTACCATCAACAGTTTGGCGGAAATACCAAGCCTCTTCCCGTTTGCGAGTCTTGCCAAGGATGGAGGTCTGATAGTTGATATTGGCGGCGGTCTAGGTCAAGTCAGCCGACATATTCTTAGCTGCAATCCCGGGGCAGGGCTTCGTTGCGTAGTCCAAGATCAACACGCCTTTGCTGGTTCACTACCCAAACGGCCAGATGAGGTTGATGTTCATGAGAAAGAAAACGAGGCGCTAGCTCTCGAATTCCAACAACACAATTTCTTCGATCCTCAGCCGGTCAGAGGTACGTCAATCAGGTCCTGCTTATCCAGTCGCTATACTGACACGTCAATTTTCAAGGCGCAGCAGCGTATTTTTTTCGCCACATATTCCACGATTGGTCCGACACGGCATGCCTAAAGATCCTGAGGCAGATAATTCCCGCCATGCACCCGCAACACAGTCGCATTTTGATCTGTGATCAAATCGTAGGGGACAAGTCCCCATCAGTATCATCAGTCCTCTATGATGTTGACATGATGACGTTGTTTGGTGGTAAGGAACGTAGCTTGCTCCAATTTCTTGACTTGATCAAGGCGGCTGATCAGAGGTTTTACATTGATGATGTAAAAAGATCTGCCGGGTCTGCTACGACTATCATTGTAGTTAAGCTCTCATCGTAGAGAAGCATTCCCTAACTTGTACACCGTTGTATGCATCAGTAACCACGCTCAGCGGCCGCAACATCAAAGCTGATGTTGTGGCCGCTGATATGGCTGCATGATGATCATATGATAATACCAACTCCTGATATTTTTCACAACCTGATACGCTCACATCTTTATGCCGAGTCTGATTGATAACAGAGCCATATCAGGCTTCAAAATTATGTCAAATGTCAGCCGTTAAGATAGACAGGCAAGCATGAGGGCAGGCAAGCACGAGAGCAGGCAGGCATAAGAGCAAGGCATCTGCATGACAGGCAACACGGCTGCGATGCAATAGGCACACAATCAATCTTTTCTATACAATTAGAACTACATTCTGCACACTTCTATGATGCGTGCAGCACCTCTGCGTTGATGCTGGTGCAGAGAGCTCGCCTCCGAAGGACCCGAAGGAACGCCAAGACTCTGATCTCAGCCATAGTGACTGAAAGTCCTAGCAGACATAAAAATTATCCGATATAGATCAAGCGTTGTTCGGCACAATTTCAAGTGTTATATTTATTAAGGTCTAACATAGTTCTAACACCATTCTTAACATCCTGAGATATGGCTATCATAATCACTCCTCATCATATACAAGACATCAAGTCGCCGAACCCCCTCTGCGCGGTACCAGAAGTTACCAAATGAAAACAAGTGGCACAAATTGATCGCAAGCGTGTTAGGCCAAACTTATGGTAGAACTTGCGCACAGGCAGCACGAGCGCTAAGGTAGCTACGTAATTTCAATTGCATGGAAAGATGCTAGATATTTATCTTGGCATGCGCTCTTAGCCACAATTACGGGTAGCAGATGGGTCGGAAATTAAAACGGGTTAATATATACTACTTACGACCGAGTCCGATGTGGACTGCCCACAGCCGAGGTCATAGCATTGCTTTAGTATCTAGTGAACGTAAGCTCTGACGCCTAGACTTTATCGCCGACATAAGATTTCTAATTTTGTACTTCCGTTAGGTTCCATAGTGCATTCATCAACGAATATTAGCGATATCGTTGATCGATATATGCGCTAAGGTGTTTTTCCTTATTAGCGCTTTCTATGCAGAAGCCCCTGCTCGATCGTGTAGCTCCGATATGAAGTACCTCTACATTTAATTCGACACTGCCATTCCAAGACCTTGTATCCAACAACTCCATTCCGTACCACCCTCTACTCCCGTCGATTTTAAACAACATTATGACTTCCGCAACAACAAACGAAGCCTCCCTTAACCGTGCTGATGAAGTCGAAGACGTAAGTATATATTCGAAAAGCCCGTGATATACATTTTGAACACTTCAATCAAACTCCGTCATTCTCCTATCTGTCTTTCTCCGTTATGTTACAAAATTTCCTTTACTAATAACATTCGTGTGACTAAAACAATCAGCTTCTCAATACTATCCAGGACCTACTTATCCCATTTATCCGCGCCGCCGACGATGACGCAGACACAAAATCCATTAGTCATAGCCTCCAGATCGCCGGCGGTAAGCGTACAACCGCTTTAATCGAGCAATATCCTCCGAAGAAATTAGAACGCATATTAAGTCAAGAGCTGCAAATCGAACAGAGTCATGCAGAGATGGGAAAGGGAAAAGAAGGCCTCGTTACGTTGGTGAAAAGCATACTGAGGTACAGTTTGAACACGTGGCACCACGGGTTCCTCGAGAAATTGTCTCAAAGCACGAATGCAGTAGGTGTGGTTAGTGAGCTGGTGTTGGCGGTATTGAATACCAATGTACGTTCCGTCTGCTTCTCCATTCTTCATTCGATGAGACCAGGCTGATGAAGACAACACTGTAGGTACACATCTACCAATGCTCCCCTGTCTTAACTCTCATCGAAAAGCGCACAACAAAATATCTTGCGTCTCTCTTCGGCCTCCCCTCTTCCACCTCAGGAGGAATATCCCAACCGGGAGGCAGCACCTCCAACACTACTGCTATCGTCATAGCAAGAAACACGCTGTTTCCATCTACAAAACAGAATGGCAACGGTATTCACCGGTTCACAATCTTCACCTCCACACACGGTCACTACTCTGTCGAAAAAGCAGCGAACCTCCTCGGCCTTGGCTCCCGTAACGTCATCCTCGTCCCCGTCGACGAACGCGGTTGCATGATACCATCGGAACTGGAGAAATGCGTACAGGAGAGTAGGGATAGAGGTGAAACACCCTTCTTCCTTAATGCAACAGCCGGAACCACAGTCCAGGGCGCATTTGATCCTTTCATTGCTCTCAGTGCAATCTGTAAGGCTCACAATCTTTGGTTGCACATTGATGGCTCGTGGGGCGGGTCGGTAGTTTTCAACAAAGAATACCGTTCTTCTCGCCTTGCAGGCGCCCAGTTTGCAGATTCGATTACGATAAATCCGCATAAGATGCTCGGAACGCCATTGGCTTGCAGTTTCCTCCTCGGAAGGGATATGAATACTTTCCACAAAGCGCTCACGCTACCCGCAGGCTACCTATTTCATAATGATACAGGTGTTGATGCACAGGACGTCTACGACCTGGCTGATCTGACACCACAGTGTGGGAGACGTGCAGATAGTTTGAAACTGTTCATGGCGTTGCAGTATTATGGTGCAAGGCATTTCAGCGACCTGGTGGCGAGGGCTTATGGACATGCAGAGTACCTTCTACAGAAGTTGAAGAAAAGTGGTGATTTCGCGACGATTAGCCCGGAACCGCTGCCATGTTTGCAGGTGTGCTTTTACTATGCCAAAGGGGGTACACTTCCGGGAAATGCGGATATGAACAGTAAGACGACGACAGAAATTGCGCAGAGGTTAATCAGTCGCGGGTTCATGATCGATTATGCACCGGGGGACGCAGGCAAGTTCTTTCGCGTTGTGGTCAATGGTGGTATGCACACAAGCACCCTGGATGGTCTTGTGAAGGCACTTGAGGAGACAGGCGCTGATCTGGGATATTAGATGACTGCAATATTTTATATGGGACATCACTTCGGTATTCATGTTATATGATGCATGTGCATTGTATTCATCCTCATAACATGCACATTAGAAGCAGTGTAGAACGCATTAGGATAAACATAAGCGCTGGGTGAATAAGTAACGTATTGATTACTGTTGCTACCCTTACGTTGACCACGGATAGACAGCCTTCTATCATCATTTCGAAATGTAACAAACTCTAACGTAGTTTACAAGCGAGTGACACACCCCACCAACTTTGCGCACCTCTCATCTCTTAACGCATAATGGCTCCACAACGGATTACTCAATTACAGTCAAATGAACCAGATATTCAGCTTGCTATCTCATCTATTAATACTAGACAAATTTAAAGTAATCGTTCTGCTGCTGCAGTCTACAACGTGTCTGAAGCGACGCTCCGCCGCCGACGCGCTGGCATGTCTGCCCGACGCGATTGCCAGCCCAACTCAAAGAAGCTTACTAAGCTAGAAGAGGAGGTGATAGTTGATCATATACTTGATCTCGATCTACGTGGATTCTCGCCTACCTACGAAGCTGTGCGCGATATGGCTGATAAGCTGCTGGCTGCGCGCGGCGCTGGCCAGGCTGGCGTCCACTGGCCACGCAACTTTATCAAGCGTACAGATAGTCTTACAACGCGTTTTAATCGAGCGTACGATAGGCAGAGAGGTCTATGCGAATATCCAGTCCTAATTAAGAGCTAGTTTGAGCTTGTAGAGCAGACAAAGGCTAAGTATAGTATCTGCGACGAGGACGTCTATAACTTTGACGAAGCCAGCTTTATGATGGGCAAGATTACGACTTAGCTTGTCGTTACAGCGTCAGAGAGGAGAGGCCGGCCAAAGGCAGTTGAGCCAGGTAATCGTGAGTAGGTGACGCTGATCGCAGCGATCAACGCAGCTGGCTGGTCAGTCCCACCGTTTCTTATCTTCGCTGGTCGGTATCACCTATCTGCCTGGTATAAGAAGGCAGAGATCCCACGCAACTGGGCGATCGCAGTTAGTGACAATGGCTGGACGAACAACGAGCTAGGCGTCGCATGGATAAAGCACTTCGATGCCTACACGAAGAATCGCGTTGTCGGCACACGTCGCCTGCTTATTCTTGACGGCCATGAGAGCCACCAATCTCTTCAGTTCCAAGAGTTCTGCAAGGAGAATAACAACTACACTCTCTGTATGCCGCCTCACTCGTCTCACCTACTCTAGCCTCTCGATGTTGGCTGCTTCTCGTCACTAAAGCGCGCGTACAGCCGCGAGGTGGAGAGTCTAATCCGCCACCATATCAACCACATCACTAAGCTCGAGTTTCTACCAGCGTTTAAGGCAGTGTTCGATCGATCCTTTACGCCAGCCAATATCTGCTCTGTCTTCCTCGGCGCAGGTCTTGTTCCTCTCCAGCAAGACGCTGTTCTATCAAAGCTTGACGTGAAGCTGCGTACACCAACACCACCTGCTCTAGAAGACCTGCCCTGGCTGTCGCAAACCCCAAGTAACACCCTGGAACTTGGGTCGCAATCGACGCTGAGCTTGAAGCAGCTAACGAAGCCGCCACGCGACGAAAATCGCACAAAAGAAAGCGAGTTCAAAAGGAAGGGGCTCTAATAGTAGAGGAGGGGGAGTAGCTCTAAAGGAGTTTGGGGCTCGTGGCGATGGGAAGAAGGTAACGCAGAGAGTGTGCGCTGAAGTGGGTGAGCCGTCGCAAAGGCACTGTAGACGCTACGGCGAGGCAGGGCACAACACGCGCACATGTAAACAGGTAGAAGCAATAGATTCTGAGTAGGATAGCCTACTATAATTTCTAATCACTGTTATTGTTGTGTTGTAATAGTCTATAATAGTCGTGATGTTTGGTGGGGTCTTGGCATCGTGAGCCACTCGCTATACCTTGACGTTATACTAGCCCACTATATTAGTACCGTAGAAATCCGCCCAAATGGCCGAACGCTAGCTGTGGGCATGAGCTGCACTAACCAGAAGCAGTTTAAGCCATCTCCACCTTTACAGAGCTTGGTTATATTTAAAAAGGACATGTCAGCAGTTTAAGCATATCAGCGCTGAGGCCTATTGTGTAAACTTATCCGGTCTATCTAGCATTCGGCGATGTGGGCAAGAAAATACGGCAGTCTAGTCACTACCTACTCGGTCATCTGCACTTGAAGTTAGACGATTCAGTTAACCAATCGGGAGTAAGCGGATTGCAATACTCTGGACCTAGTAATAGCGCTAGCAATATGGCCGAACACTAAACTTACAAGGGGGAGCATGTGCGGATGGGTCCGTAGGCTAGCGAATCTTCTACAATTTCACCGTTCTCCATACGAATTTCGTCCGTACATGCTTCCCCTTTGTATTATATCTCTGCAGTATAAATCAGATCCGTAGCATCCGCGTTATGCAGTCTATGCTCTATTAAGCACTAGTAACATCTGCACCTGAAGTTGGACGATTCAGTTAACCGATCGGGAGTAAGCGGATTGCAATACTCTGGACCTAGTAATAGCACTAGCAATGGCTGAAAACTAAACTTATAAGGAGAAATTGCAGTCAGCTATTCTACTCCGAATCCATCGCTTCAATTTGCTTGCATGCACGCAAGTTGTGCACTTCATCGCCTTTTTCCTATCACTGCGAACCCCAAACTCATTTGCAGCTGGCAGTCGCTCACCTTTCTCAACTGTAAGTGTCCCTGCTTGCTGTGTTAGCTTTCGTTTCTGCGATTCAAGCCGTGTAGCGACTTCATCAGCTCCTCAAAGCTCAGCAATCTCCTATTTGCGCTATCATACTTGATTCTAAAATTACAATCAAGAAAAATGAGAGAATCAATGTTACCCCTGCAAGACAAACCAACCGACCGGTGCCTTGAAAAAATATGGTCTTGGAACACTGCAGTGCCAAAAAGTATTGAGAAATGTGTCCATGACCTGTTTGCCGAGCAGGCAAAGGCACAGCCCGATGCGCCTGCCATCTGTGCGTGGGACGGCGAGATGACGTACGGCGAGCTGGATGCGCTGTCAAGCAGGCTAGCTTATCACCTCGTGCAGCTCGGCGTCAAGACTGAAGATATCGTGCCGCTATGCTTTGAGAAGTCGATGTGGACGGTCGTGGCCATCCTGGCTGTTCTCAAAGCTGGTGGAGCGTTCGCACCCATGGACCCAGATCAGCCAGCCAACCGACACCAGGAGATCCTCAGACAGACAAGCGCTAAAGTTATGCTTGTAGCTGCACGGCATTCGGCGCGCTGGATCAGTTCAGGCTGCCATGTAGTCATTGTCAGCGAGGCATCGATCGGCCGGCTGCCTGCAGTAGCCAATATGGCCCTTTCCCTAGCCACACCAGGGAACGCGGCATATGTTCTCTATACTTCAGGAACCACCGGTGTGCCAAAGGGCGTGGTGGCTGAGCACAGAGCGGTCTCGACCGGCTGCCTCGGTCACGGCCTGGCGTTTGGCATAACATCACGATCGCGCGTTCTTCAATTTGCGTCTTATATATTCACAGATAGTATGACGGAGATTATTACCACTCTTCTCTTCGGTGGATGCATCTGTGTGCCATCTGATTATGACCGGCGTAATGATCTTATCAATGCTGTTAATAAGATGAATGTTGACTGGGCTGTCATGACTCCATCTGTAGCGCAGCTGCTCAACCCTGATGAAGTTCGATCTCTAAAGACATTAGCAATCGGAGCAGAGCTTGTCAGTTCTACAGATTGGAACAGATGGCCAACCAGTGTTCGAATGATCAACGGATACGGGCAGACTGAGTGCTGCACGGTTACCACCGCATATACCAGCACACAAGGTTACAAGTCAGGCACCATCGGGACAGCAATCGCCTCGGTCAGTTGGGTAGTAGATCCTGAAAATCACCACAGGCTGGCGCCACTAGGGTCGATTGGAGAGCTGCTAGTGGAGGGGCCGATTCTCGCTCGTGGCTATCTCAACGACGCTGAGAAGACGGCAGCTACATTTATTAACAGTCCCATCTGGCTACAGGAAGGGTACGGCGGCCATGCTGGACGGCACGGCAGACTGTACAAGACAGGCGACCTAGTGTACTACCACCCTGATGGCAACCTAGTATACGTAGGCCGGAAAGACACTCAAGTAAAACTGCGTGGCCAGCGAGTAGAGCTTGACGAGATTGAGCACCATATGCGACAGTGTCTGCCGGAAGTCAGGCAGATGGCGGTCGAGGTGGTCCAACCCTCAGGAAAGAGAGACCATGCTATACTGGCAGCCTTCGTACAGCTAGACGATCATTGCCGCCACCTACCGTTGGTGGAAAAGGCTGCCGGAATTGACTCGAGGGTGCATTTGGTCTCTCTAGCTGGAATAAAGGAAGAGCTAGCTAAGCGGCTGCCTATGCACATGGTGCCAACGCTATTCCTTGCCCTCGAGGAGTACCCTATGAATACATCAGGTAAGACGGATCGTAGGCGACTGCGGGAGATTGGAGATTCTTTTACAGTCCAGAAGCTGGCAGAGATGCAGACATTCAGCCAAGAGCCGAAGCGGCAGCCATCAACAGAGGCCGAGCGGATGATGCAGCAGCTGTGGGCGCGCGTGCTCAGCATCGAGCCGGACAGTATTGGGCTAGACGACAGCTTCTTCCGTCTAGGCGGCGACTCGATCGCGGCCATGAAGCTGGTGAGTGAGGCTCGCAAGACGGGCCTGCAGCTTTCTGTCGCAGATATCTTCCGCCACCCTAACCTCGCAGCCTTGGCCAACCAGGATACTCAGCAGTGTAGCACCGTGGCAGAAGAGGTGCCTGCCTTTTCTCTACTAGGTGAAGATGTAGATTCTGTGCAAGTTTGCGAGGATGTAGCTGCTGTATGCAGCGTCGACGCGAGCATTGTCGAGGACGTCTACCCTTGCTCGCCCTTGCAAGAAGGCCTAATGTCATTGACGGCTAAGCGAGCAGGTGACTATATTATGCAGAGCGTGTTAGAGCTGCGGGCCGACATAGACGAGGATACCTTCCGAGCTGCCTGGCAACAAGTAGCGTGGTCAACAGCCGCCTTGCGCACGCGCATCGTGCAACACAGCGAACTTGGCCTGCTGCAGGCTGTTGTGGCAGAAGACATCCAGTGGATCGAGGTTAAGGGTCTAGAAGAGTATCTTAAGGAGGACAAGGCAGCCTCGATGGGGCTAGGCGACCCGCTTGTACGCTACGCACTCGTTAAGGAACACTACAGCGGGAGGCGCTGGTTTGTATGGACGATTCATCATGCGCTATACGACGGCTGGTCCCTACCTCGGATCCTGCATGCAGTCCAGCAGGTCTACAGCGGCGCCGCACTGGAAAAACAACCCAGCTTCAATGCTTTCATCCAGTACCTCAACCAGCAAGACCAGGAGGTGGCCACGTCGTACTGGCAGACGGCCCTTGCTGACTGCGAGGCGGTCCTATTTCCGTCGCTGCCATCAGCTGTTAAACAGCCCATTGCGGACACGACAGTTGCATATCAGTGTCCGCCACTCTCACAGTCAGCCACTGACATAACGACATCAACGCTTATCCGCGCAGCGTGGGCGATTGTTGCTAGTCGCTACACAAGCTCAGACGATGTAGTGTTTGGCACCACCGTCACAGGACGCAATGCGCCTGTTGCTGGCATTGATGCTATGCTTGGACCTACGATTGCAACTGTGCCGGTGCGAGTGCGTGTACAGGATCATCAGACTGTGTCATCCTTTCTACAAGGCTTGCAGCAACAGGCTACAGAGATGATCGCACACGAACAGACAGGCCTGCAGAAGATTGCTAAAATGAGGTCAGGCGCGCGGCACGCCTGTGACTTTCAAACACTGCTCGTTGTCCAGCCCGCTGATAGTGCGCTCGACGGTGATGATGGGCTTGGAGAGTGGCGTGGTGATACCGAGCTGCAGGACATCACGACATACGCGCTGATGGTGCAATGCACGCTGGCGGCAGAGGGAGTACAGATCATGGCGAGCTTCGATAGACGCGTCATCGAGCAGTGGATAGTAGAGAAGATGCTTGCCCAGTTCAGCTTTGTTATGCTGCAGCTAGCCGACGCGAGCGCAGATAGTAAGGTGGCAGAAATCGACACTATCACGCCAGCAGACCGCCAGCAGCTGTGGGCGTGGAACCAAGACGTACCACCCACAGTCGAACGATGTGTGCACGACCTGTTTGCCGAGAAGGTAAAAGCACAGCCTGACGCGCCCGCTATCTGTGCGTGGGACGGCGAGATGACGTACAGCGAGCTGGACGCGCTGTCAAGCCAGTTAGCGGGCTACCTGATGCAGCTCGGTGTCGAAGGGCGAAGAAGTGGTGCCGCTGTGTTTCGAGAAGTCGATATGGACCGTTGTAGCCATGCTGGCCGTG